TGCCCGCAACCAAGGTACATGCCCTTGACCGGAATCGAACCGGCCAGGGCGACCTTCCTAATTTTAATCTGATTTTTTTTTAGAACAGAGACTGTTAGGTCAGGTCAGGACATTTGTGTTTTTTTCATGATGCATGTTTCATGTAGCTGAGGCTACCGTGGGAGGTTTTTGTTTAAAATGACCTTTTAACTCTGTGGAGTTTATGCTCACATGACACTTTTTGTTTATGTACCTTTTTTTGGTGTCAGAAAGGAATTCATCTGGCGTTGGAAAAATGCACATGCGTGGTTCCTTTCTTCCAGGCGAATAAAGACGTTCAGCTGTGCAATAGCTTCTGAATTTTCGCAGTGTTAGGAAGATAAGCTGGCTCGAATGCCGTTGTAATCTCGTTTTCCTTTTCTCTCCCCCAAAACAACATAGGTGAACGCCTTAAGGCTGAAGCTTCAGAAACTCCTGGAGAAAGCCGTTGAGGAGGATGATTATGATAAGGGTGAGTTTGACTTGTTTATCGGCTGTTTTTTCTTTTCCAGAATGTTCCATCTTTCACTCCCTTCCTGCCCAGATCTGCCTTCCACCCCCAGATGAACTGGGCATTCACTCCCTCTAGAGCAGTGGTTCTCAACCTTCTGGCCCTTTAAATACAGTTAGTTCCTCATGTTGTGACCCAACCATAAAATTATTTTCGTTGCTACTTCATCACTGTCATGTTGCGACTGTGATGAATCGTCATGTAAATATCTGATATGCAGGATGGTCTTAGGCGACCCCTGAGAAAGGGTCGTTCGACCGCCAAAGGGGTCGAGACCCACAGGTTGAGAACAGCTGCTCTAGACATTCGGCTCGGTGACAATAGATTAGTTATTTTTATTTTTATTTATTTTTTATTGATTTAAAGGAGGGAGAGGGAGAGAAACATCAGTGATGAGAGAGAATCGTGGATTGGCTGCCTCTTGCATACCACCCAGTGTGAGGATCAAGCCCGCAACCCGGGCCTGTGCCCTGACGGGGAATTGAGCTGTGACCTCCATGTTCATAGGTCTGTGCTCAACTACTGAGCCACACTGGCCGGGCTGAGCTCTTTGGCTTCATACTCTCTGGGACGTCATGGCAAATGGGTTGAGTTTGAAAGGGGCCAGCCGAGCTACAGGGGTCAAACCTATTAGAGTTCCATGAGGATGCCTGCCAGGGCCCACGCGAGGAAGGAGAAGTGGTAACACGAGACTAGAAGGTGGACTTGGTCAGAAGCCAGAAACACACAAATTAGGAAGGTGGCCCGGCCGGCGTGGCTCAGGGGTTGAGCATCGACCTGTGAACCAGGAGGTCAGGGTTCGATTCCCGTTCAGGGCACAGGCCCGGGTTGGGGACTCGATCTCCAATGTAGGGGCGTGCAGGAGGCAGCTGATCCATGACTCTCTCTCATCATTGATGTTTCTCTCTCTCTCCCCCTCTCCCTTCCTCTCTGAAATCAATAAAACTATGTTAAAAAAGGAAAAGAAAAGAAAAGACCATGGGAAGAGTAGCAGCCTCTGAGTCACCTCTCTGCCTGCAGTCCGCAGGCAGGAAATGAGCCCGAGCGACATGGCTCCTTATTTCCTATTTGCCAAGAAGAAGCTCGTTTGCATGCAGCCCGACTCCTTTCAAGCTGCAAAAAGTGCCGGGAGTGAGGTGAAGCATATAGATTAAAGCGTGCAAATCACCACGAAGCACTGACAGCTCGGCCAGCCGCGTCCCCTCTGGGGCACACTGGTTTTCTTCCCTGTGGTCTGGATTTCATGACCCTGAGTCTCTTGTTCTCGGCCTCATTCTCGGTTGCACGACATTGGGTGACATTGAGAAAATGAAATTGAAACTTTGCGTGGGCTCTGAAGGAATTGGCTATCCTGATTTTGAGAGTAGATGGAAAAGGAAAAAAAAAGAGGCATAAGTGGGGTGCTAAGGACAACAGCAAAGAGGAAGAGATTGGAGAGGTTGGTTCTCTGTCCAGGTCATTTTTCTTTAAAAAAAATGTTTTATTGATTTCAGAGAGAGGAAGGGAGAGGGAGAGAGAGAGAAACATCAACGATGAGGGAGAATCATCGATCAGCTGCCTCCTGCACACCCCGCACTGGGGATCGCACCCACAACCCAGTCATGCCCTGACCGGGAATCGAACCGTGACCTCCTGGTTCATAGGTTGATGCTCAACCCCTGAGCCACGCCAGCCGGGTATGTCCGGGTCATGTTTCTGTGTGTGTCTGCTGCTCTGTGACCTGTGCCCTCGTGGGCAGAGGGGGTGAAGGGTCAGTTCCCAGCCAACGGTTCAATCCGTCCGTCTAAAGCTGCCATTCAAGAGCATGGCGCCCGTGTCCTCTGCGTCGCGGCAATGACACGGTGCCACCGCCGCTCCCTGGGCCCCTCGCGCTCGGCATGCCTCGCTGGGCAGCTAATTTGCTTTTATAAATGGTTCCGCCACTTAATTAAATCTCGCATCCTCTCTGATAAAACACGGACAGCAGCTCTACCAGCAACACACTCTGCACGACAGTGTCACAGCCGAGGGGCCCTCCCGTGGCTGCTGTCCCAGGTGTAAGGAACCTTCCGCGCGGGGCTCCCTGCCCGAGGTCCCTGCGCGCGCTCACGTCACTGCCCCTGCGCGTGCATCAGCCGCTCCGGTGGCCCTGCCTTCCCCAGGCGACGCCTGACCCACTTTCTGAAAAAAAGTTATCTGGGAAAATGGGACTGTGTCCTGTGAGAGTTGGAAACAGAGACCCTGAGTCTCTATAGATATTTGAGGGGGACCAAGGTCTTGAGTTGGAAGGAGGCAGACACCCTGCAGAACTCAAGGGCGTCGGGTCGTGGGTCGTGGGTAGAAGTCACAGGAGGAATTGCTCGCTCTCCCCTGGTGCTGGTGGCGGGGGGTCGGGACCAGGAGTCTTTAAAAAAAAAAAAAAGCCCTGATCGGTCTGGCTCGGTGGGTGGAGCCGGCCTGCGGACTGAAGGGTCCCAGGTTCGATTCTGGTCAAGGGCATGTGCCTTGGTTGCGGGCGCGTCCCCAGTGGGGGGTGTGCAGGAGGCAGCTGATCGATGTTTCTCTCTCATCGATGTTTCTAACTCTCTATCCCTCTCCCTTCCTCTCTGTGGAAAATCAACAAAATATATGTGTCTATCTATCTATCTATCTATCTATCTATCTATCTATTTTTGGTATTAATTTTAGAGAGGAAGGGGGAGGGAGAGAGAGCTGGAAACATCCATGATGAGAGAGAATCATGGATCGGCTGCCTCCTGCACACCCCATACTGGGGATGGAGCCTGTAACCCCGGCATGTGCCCTGACCGGGAATCAAACTGGGACCTCCTGGTTCCTAGGTCGACGCTTAGCCGCTGAGCACATGCCTGCCGGGTTGTGGACTCGATCCCCAGTGGGGGGCGTGCGGGAGGCGGCCGATCCACGATTCTCCCTCATCATTGATGTTTCTCTCTCTCTCTCCCTCTCCCTTCCTCTCTGAAGTCAATAAAATCAATAAAAAACAAAAATGTACGGGGATGACAGGGTGATAGAATCAGATAGGTCCCAGGTCTCCTAGCAGCAGCTGGAATACCCCGAGCGCCTCGCCTCACGCCTTTGACAGGCGACAGGGACCAGAGAGCCCCCGGCAGAGGGACGCTGTGACATCCCACAGTAGACACGCGGGGCTACTTCCAGTCACGGCAGCGTGCTGGGCGGAATGACCTTTATCGGCTGACGACAGTGATGTAGCGGAAGGGACAGCTTTCCACTTGACCTTTACAGCGCGCCCGCTTGTCTCCCCGGGAAATAAGTTACCGCCGACCGGCTCCATGGGGCCCGGCGGACGCTCGCTGTCTGGGAGGAGAGAGGACCGAGCAGCCCCTGAGCTCTGCAATGAGATGACTGTCATGTCCCCACGGGCGGCTTGGAAATGACCACTACCTGGTCACTGCCAGGACATGTGGCAGAATTATTATTATTGTTTTTGTTAATCCTCACTCAAGGATATTTTTCTATTGATTTTTAAAGAGATGCCCTAACCTGTTTGGCTCGGTGGATAGAGTGTCGGCCTGCGGACTGAAGGGTCCCGGGTTTGATTCCGGTCAAGGGCATGTACCTTGGTTTCGGGCACATCCCCAGTGGGGAGTGTGCGGGAGGCAGCTGATCGATGTTTCTCTCTCATCGATGTTTCTAACTCTCTATCCCTCTCCCTTCCTCTCTGTGGAAAATCAATAAAATATTTAAAAAAATAATAAATAAAAAAAAATAAAGAGCGTGGAAGAGAGGTAGGGAAACAGAGAGAAACATCGAGGTGAGAGAAACACATCGATCGGTGGCCTCCTGCCCGCGCCCCCCTGGTAGGGGAGGAGCCTGCAATTGAGGAATCGAATCCGGGACCCTTCGGTCCTCAGGCTGCCGCTCTAGCCACTGAGCCAGACCGGCTAGGGCTCAACCTGGGCTGCTTTTACACGTTTTTTAAAAATATATATATTTTATTGATTTTTTACAGAGAGGAAGGAAGAGGGATAGACAGTTAGAAACATCGATCAGCTGCTTCCTGCACACCCCCTACTGGGGATGTGCCTGCAACCAAGGTACATGCCCTTGACCGGAATCGAACCTGGGACCCTTCAGTCCGCAGGCCGACGCTCTATCCACTGAGCCAAACCGGTCAGGGCTGCTTTTACACGTCTAATGGAAGCTTGACCTTCGAGGGTCCAAACCACAGGAGCTGGAGGTGCCCGGGCTGCAGGGCGATGGCGCGCGACTCCGATTGGGTGCCCAGCGTGGGGACGGGAGTGCCGAGCGCCCTGCCAGTCGTCCACGCGGCGCAGGTGCTTCCGATGAGTTTTCCAGCGCAGACAGGCGCGGGCTTCACGGTCAAGGCTGTTCTGTGTCCGTGCCACTGAGAGCTGCCCCTCCCTTCCCGGCGGCTGGAACCAATTGCTTTAGATCCGCCATGCGGCCGCAACATCCAGGCGCAGCCTCCTTAGCAGCTAAGGAGTCCCCCAGAATTCAGTCCACAGAGCCAGCCGTGACCATGTCTTTGGACATAACTCGAAGAAAAAGAGGATTCAGGTGGAAAAACAGGATCGGGAAGGATAAGGGTGGCATCTTGCTGCTGTTGCTGTCGCTGTCACTCTGCCTTTCAGGATCGTCTGATGCTGGTCGTGAGCTCGAGGAAAGGCCTGCTGATCAGAGTCTATCCTTTTGGGCCCGTGCCAGGTGCCAGGTGCTAAACGCTTTCCACAGACGATCTCACTTAACCCTCAGCAAACCTTAGGGTGCAGATACTCGTGTGCACCCCGTGTCTGCACATTAAGAAACTGGAGCCGAGGAAGTTAGGTTAAGCGACTTGAAGGTCAGACAGCGGGAGTGGCAGAGTTGAGGTGCGGACTCCATTTTCTCCTAGTCCCACATGATGAAGGCATCCGTGTTATCTTTTTCTTTTTAAAATGTATTTTTATTGATTTCAGAGAGGAAAGGAGAGAGAGAGAGAGAGAAACGTCAATGATGAGAGAGAGACTCATGGATTGGCTGCCTCCTGCATGCCCCACACTGGGGATCGAGCCCGCCACCCGGGTGTGTGCCCTGACCGGGAATCAAACCCCGCGGCCTCCTGGCTGATAGGTCTACGCTCAACCACTGAGCCTCGCCGGCTGGGCAAGACAGGAGATTCTTTTTCTTTTTATTAATATATTTTTATTGATTTTTTACAGAGAAGAAGGGAGAGGGATAGAGAGTTAGAAACATCGATGAGAGAGAAACATCAATCAGCTGCCTTCTGCACACCCCCTACTGGGGATGTGCCCGCAACCAAGGTACATGCCCCCGACCGGAATCGAACCTGGGGCCCTTCAGTCCGCAGGCCGACGCTCCATCCACTGAGCCAAACCGGTCAGGGCAAGACAGGAGATTCTTAAAAGCACCAGCTGAGAGATGCACGCCCTGGCCTGGAGCCTGTGCCCTTGGTCACGTCATCAGGGTGGACGTGGACTGGGCGTGGAGCTGGGAGGCCCTGGGTTGTCTGCTTTGAGTTGCATGGATCGTCACTCCTCTCATTGTTTTGCGTTTCTAGCGGAGACGTTCAAGCACAGATTGGACGACCTGGAGGAGGAAGAGGAGGAGGAGAGCGGCCTGCGCTTCCAGCTCCCCTCGAGGCAGCCGGCCCTCTGCAGCCTCCTGGTCCACCTGGGAGCCCAGGCCGAGGCCGCCCTGTGCCGGGCCGCTCAGCAGTAAGTGCCGGGGAGGCCACCTCCTCTCCCCGTCTCCCTGTCTCCCGTCTCCCATTCTCAGCCCAGGGAGTGAAGAGCTGGGAGGGGTGAGCTGGGGGGACCTGCTGGTGCTTTTGCTCGGAAGCGCCCTTTTGCTGGTTGGGCAGGTGGCAGTTTCTTCCTGAGTGAGGGACCCCTGTGGGTCCTGCCCCTGAGATACCGTCTCTGCCAATCGACAGGGAGAGGCCCTGGACAGGGGTTTTTTAAATTGATTTCAGAGAGGAAGGGAGAGGGACAGAGAGAGAAACATCAGTGATGAGAGAGAATCACTGATTGGCTGCCTCCTGCACTCCCCACACTGGGGATGGAGCCTATATCCGGGGCATGTGCCCTGACCAGGAATCAAACCCTGACCTCCTGGTTCCTAGGTCGAAGCTCAACCACTGAGCCACACCAGCCGAGCTGGGATCTTATTTTACAAACAGGTTTTATTCCTCCTTAAATGATTGGGGAAAAAGACGAAAGTAGAAAGGGCAGCATTTTTTTTTTTTTTTTTGCAGCAGTGGGCAGTCCCAGATGGGGGCCTGTGAGCCACCTCACGTCTGCACTGGGGTCCAAGACACCCCGAGTGCCCTGCACCCCGAGTGCTGTGCTAACACCCCAGCCTCCTGCTTTATTTTTTTAAATATATATTGTACTCATTTCAGAGAGGAAGGGAGAGGGAGAGAGAGATAGATACATCAATGATGAGAGAGAACCATTGATCGGCTGCCTCCTGCACGCCCCCCACTGGGGATCAAGCCCACAACCCGGGCATGTGCCCTTGACTGGAATCGAACCTGGGACTCTTCAGTCCGTAGGCCAGTGCTCTATCCACTGAGCCACACCGGCCAGGGCCCGCCCTCCTGCTTTGATTCTCGCCCCAGGGACGGGCTTGTTTCTCATCCTGATTCGCTGGGAGCAGTGCCACTGCTGACACTGGGGATTACACGGTGAGACTGTGAAGTACAAAGGGAACAACACTGGAAGGGAGAGGCGGGGGGCTCAGAGGACTGAGGTCTGCGGGACGGGAACCTGTCCTCGGCTTCATTGCGGAGCTGCCGTGTGTCCCGGGGCGCCGCTCAGCCGGCTGGGGACGCTTCCCGCACCCCCGTCGGAGCCCGAGAGGCAGGGAGGCGCGTGGGTAACCGCAGGGGCTTCCCTGGTGGGTTAGGTAATGAATGTGATTAACCAGCACGGAGAATTCCCAGGTACCCACCTGTCGCTCCTCGTCGCTCATTTCAATCAGATGCCGATTTCCTCCCATGGCTCCCAGCCCGGCCCAGATGGCACCCTGTTTAGGAAATTCAGGAAACTGCATATTTGCACACGCAGAGCACACGGGGAAATAAATGTGTGCAGGGGAGTGGTCTCAGGAGCAGAGCGCCGACTACAAGCCAGTTCTGGGTTTTCTGGGACCTGGACTCATGAAATCAGTCAGCAGATATTTGCTGAGTGAGACCCTGCTCAGGACTGGACCCTGGGACCCAGGACTGTCCCCTGAGGCTCACAGTCTAACGCAAGGGGCTGTGTGAACAGGCCAGACTGGGGGGGTGGGGGGAGCGGGCGGAGGAGGCAGCGCGTCCATTCCTGTGGACGTCAATAGATGAGGATGGTTTTGTTCTCT